TTAGGGTTCTAGTCCAATCGTGTCTAAGCACTCCAAAAGTAATCCAAACACAACTAAGCACACCGCCACCCAACACGGCGGCTGGTGGCAGCAGCCACCACCTCACGGTGGTGGTTTTGAGTTTCTTTTTATTATTATAGTAACCGGTTACAATGTTACAATGCAAAATATCAAATTCACACACACACTCACTAAAATAAACACACACAACCACCCTTGCGGTGGCCGGCGGTGACACATGGTGGCCGCCACCACCGTGGCTGTCCTCGGTTTTTCCGGCTAGACAAAACACACACAACACAAATTAGAAGCAGAATCACACACCCACACAACTCATAGCCACCTCCCACGGTGGTTGGTGGTGTCAAGATACGGCAGCGATGTCGGAAAGTAGAAGGAATGGCGGCAGGCGGCGGGATTTGCGATGACAGCCACCACCTCACGGTGGTGGCGGTGGTTTCTTTTCGTCTTCTGCCCGACAACATATCAATACACTCACGTACGACATATGGTAGACGACGGGGCACGAGCGGCGGCAATAGCTGCGCCTACAGTCGGCGTCATCGGCGGCAGCAATGTAACAGTAAAAGAGAAGCGGCGGAGGGTAACCGGAGCGCTGAAGAATGGCGTCGCTTGGAGCTGCGGTGTCGACGATCGTGGCTAGGCGTAGCTAGCGAGGGACGGAGGACGAGAGCTGAACCCACGACGGCAGCAGCAGCGGCAGGAGAAGGAGGCGCCGGTTCGTGTCCTTGTCGGCGACTGGAGCAGCAACAACTCTGGACAGTGGCATGGACGTCGGTGGTCGCCCGGAGCTTCACCAGATCGGAGAACGAGAGGGGGGTCAGGTGGTAACGGCGTCGGAGATGACGCAGGAGGATGGCGGCCGGTGGTGGGATGGCGACTGCACTCTCTTAGGGTTAGGGTTTGGACGGGGGGTTTATATACCCGATCCCCTTAACTAGTTTCCATAATGACCAAAATGGTTCCTCCTTCCCCTATTTCTTTCAAAATAAATCCATATGTTACCTTTTTAACCCTCAGCATTAAAATTCATTACAAATCACATACAATACTTACCAAACAGCCCTCCGTTTTTGAATTTCTTCGCAAAGCCAGTCCAGAAGTTACCGTTTTAGCCCCCAATATCTCAATTATGACATATTCAGCCCTTCCACCTCTTTTCCTTTCAAATTAAATCCGAAATTACCCAAATAGCCCTTAGTCTTCAAAATCCTTTTAAGTTAAGTCCCAATAATTTACCAAGTAGTCCATACCTTCATAAATATTTACAAAACCAATCCGGAACTTACACTTTTAACCCCCAACTTCTAAATTGTGCAAATTAACTACTCGAGACCATCCATTGTTATATAATTATTGATTTTAAGGCTAATATACATTCATTAATTTATTTATTTATTTATTTATTTATTTATTTAATAAACGGGGTGTTACATATAAATTGCACATTTGTTTCATAATGACATAATCTTTCTCTGGTCATTGCATAAAAACTAAAAAGAGACCTAAACACATAACACAAGATGTGATAGAGATAAAGATAGCAGAGAAATAGTCGTTCCATAATTATCTTGATAATTATATAATAATTTTATAACCCAACGAAGTCTTTTATAATTTTTATAACCCAAACACATAACACAAAAATATATGATCTTGAGTTGAATTTTTTATTATTTGCTCTTTGAACAGAAATCTTAAGTTGAATTAAAGTTATAAATTGCACAGTTGTTTCATAAGGACATAATCTTTCTCTGATCATTGCATAAAAATTAAAAGAGAGCCAAACACATAACACAAGACGTGATAGAGATGAAGATAGCAGAGAAATAGTCATTCCATAATTATCTTAATAATTATATAATAGTTTTTATAACCCAACGAAGTTTTTTATTTTAGTTTAAACGGTTTGTGAATTAGTTTTTGTGTCTTCTAAATCAATGATGTCTGAAAATCTATGTCAAATATATCCTTTTGCTGATGTGGACAATGTTGAAAGGGTTGACCGGTAAACCATGTGGACTTTTGACAACAGAAATGACAAAGGTTAAGCTGATGTGTCATGGCCACCTGTATCCTCCAACAGCCACCATAATCCCACCAATTTCCTTAATCAAAATCGTAGATACTCAATGCACGAATCGAAATCAAAATAAAAACACAGCTACTCGATCAGTAATTTCATGGTCGATCGATTAATCATTATGTATTTGGAGGATTTCAATTTTAATTTCGATTTCGATTTAGATTTTTACTATTGTTTATTTTGAAATGCATATGTATACGTGCGAAATTGGTTAGAGTTTCAGAAAATTCTTATGGAAATGAAGTTAAACTAGTGGGTGGGCGCGTGGTGAACCACGGGTCACCTTTGTGGCAATCAGATGCGTTTTGTTTTATTCACAAAGGATGACGATGAGAAAAAGATGACAAACTAAGCCCAAAACATAAGCACAAATCGATAGACGGAAAAGGGACAAAATGAAGGTCAAAAATGGTCAAAGGGACTGAAAGTGAGAAATATTAAAACACGTGTGGCCAATTTTTTATAAAATATAAGTAGTAAGACGAAAAAAGGAACAAAAAGAATGTCAAAATGGTAAAAGGGACTTAAAGTGACAAATATTAATAGACATGTGGCCATTCTCTAATTACAACATACCAATGATTAAAATTGTCAAACTTAAGAAAATATTGTGGCAAAATGTTGAAAACATACAAAAGAATGGGACTTAAAGTGGCAAATATTAAAAGACATGGGTCAATCTCTAATTACAACATGTTAGGGACTAAATTGTCAAACTATACAAAGTATTGTGGTAAAATCTTAAAACATATAAAATATGGACTAAAATTGTCAAACTATAAAAAGTATGGTGGCAAAATCTTAAAACATACAAAATATACTATTACTAGTGACCATGTCTATTAATATAATATAGTAATAGTAATATGCTATTGTGAGCATGTATTGAGATTTCATGAACTTTTACATTTTGATTTGGTTTGTGAAATTGATATTTTAATAAATTGTTCAGAGATATTTAGAGAAAAATGCTAAACTTTTGGAAAAAGTTTCAAAAAAGTCCTAAATTTTTTTTAACATAAAAGTCTCATTATTTTGAAAAAAATCATATAATCTATCATTTGTTGTTCAAATATAAAAGGGATAATGACTTAGGAGGGTAATTAGGTTTCTAGTTTGTCTGTATTAGGTCACTAAGGTTTTTTTTTTTGTGCGTATTAGACCAATATGGTTGTTATTACCGTTTAGAAATAGTCCTTTTTACCGGTTAAACAGGAAGAAACCGGTAAAAAGGACGATTTCTAAACGGTAATAACAACCATATTGGTCTAATACGCACAAAAAAAACCTTAGTGACCTAATACGGACAAACTGGAAACCTAATTACCCTCCTAAGTCATTAACCCTAATTTTAAAGACATTGAGAATATATGACCATCAACAGTAAACTAGTTCGTTTAGAACTCGCGTCGTCCCATATCGACCAGAAGAAGAATCTGCTACTCCTCTATATGGCGAAGCTCTTCATCTATAGTCGTCCCTTCGGGGACATCCGATAAAATTGGAACGATGCAGAGAAGATTAGCATGGTCCATGCGCAAGGATGACACGCACAAATTGAGAAATGGTCCAATTTTTTTTAAACCCTTCGTCGTCTTCTCTGAAACCCTAATTCCCTTTTCAAATGCTAATAGAGTTCAATTGCAATTCTTACGTTTCAGTAGTTGAACTACTGAAGTCATGATCAGACAACATGTGGATTCCATGGTCAGATTGATCTTCTTGTTGATGTCTTCAACCATTTGTGGCAAGTAAGGGTGATCTTTCTTTCTATAAAGTCTCCTTTAAGTTTTTTACTTTTCCTGTCATTAAGTTTTATGTTTTATATAAACTTCCGTTTATGTGTTGTATATAGTCTGTATGTGTTTGTTTATGTGCTGATTTTTTATTCATTTTGCAACTTCAGTTTCTTAGTTCATGTTGTGGTTTTGTTGTTTATAAAATAATTGATAATAGGCATCATTTGCAAGTCCCTGTTGGTTTTACATTTCCATTCGTTATCAAATGTAGACATTGATGGGAGGTATCAAAGTGAGATTGTTTTTGTACATGTGGATGTGTTCATGTAAACATTTAAATGATAAAAAAGAAGTTATTGATAAAATGTTGCATATTTATGTAATGAAGATCATCAATCATATGAGTTTTTGGACTTGGAAATTCTGAAAAGGTTGTGTGATAAGTTTAAATGGAAGCAACTATTTTCAATCAAACAAGTCAGTCACATTGATTAGTAAGCATGTTTTCTAAATAATTAGGGTTAATGACTTAGGAGGGTAATTAGGTTTCCCGTTTGTCTGTATTAGGTCACTAAGGTTTTTTTGTGCGTATTAGACCAACATGGTTGTTATTACCGTTTAGAAATAGTCTTTTTTACCGGTTAAACAGAAAGAAACCGGTAAAAAGGACTATTTCTAAACGGTAATAACAACTATATTGGTCTAATACGCACAAAAAAAACCTTAGGGACCTAATACAGACAAACTGGAAACCTAATTACACTCCTAAGTCATTATCCCAATATAATTAAAAAAAAGACTTTTTCATTAATTTAGACAAAATGTTAAATAATTAGGACTTTTCTGTTAAAAAAAAACTTTTAGAACTTTATTGAAACTTTTCCCAAAAATTTGGGACTTTTCTGTAGATATCCCAATTGTTCACTACATGTCGGAACGAATGAAGATCTGACTGATTGTATAGTCAATCTGTTACTCAATCTGTTACCCAATCAACTTGCTATGAAATTGATAATTGTTAGACGAATGAAATCAGTTCTAAATTTTATACTATTTCCTCTGTTTTCTTCAATGGAAGATCAGCTTGCTATTGGTTTAAAACAGACAACAACAAAAACAAAACAGATAAGGCAATATAGGTTGGGAATAGCCGAATAGGATCAGCTTGTTTAGCTATTAAATATAGTTTCCTTACGGAATAAAAAATAATGAGAGCATGTAGACCTATTCTTTGCTAAATTCTACTTTCAAAAAAAAATCAATGAATCATTTAAATAATCTGTACATAGACTAAACGATGACACATCATACCCTCACAAAACTTATCTTATTTCCCTTTTTTCCTCCTTTATATTTCCCAAATTCTTCTCATCACACCCATCAAGTCCCAAACAAGCTTGAAGAAACCTATGAGTAAAATACCAATACCAATTAATGTATGTATGTAGAATTGAGCATATAGATAATAGATATGTATACCTTTAAATGATGTGGCATGATCTTAACATCATAGGGTACATGAAGCCATGCCTCAGGTTGATAGAACATAAAGTTCTCAGGTTTACTAGTGTACACGTCAGCATACTGATGGATGTGATAAGCAAAAGCCGATTCTTGGCCAGTGTCAGTGAGAAAAGTGGCCCCAAAGGATTCATTAAACATGTTTCTCATTGTACGCCGTGCATTTTGTCTCTCTTCATTTAATTCATCCAGAAGGGACTTAAAACGGTCACATGTGTGTTTGCTAGATACAGTTGAATGCAATTTCCCCAAAAGTTCTTGTATTATATGGAATTTCGCCTGTATTTTCAATTTTCAAATATAAATATATTACTATATAAGTGTCGTGAAGTGTGATGATTTGAAAGATACCACAATTAATTACCTGTGCAAAACGGTAAGAATCTTCGTTCTGTATTTTGATCTCGTGCTGTGTAAGATAAAATTAATGAAGAATATTTATTTATTTGTTAATTGTATAAATTTTATGGATGTAAATGTAATTATTAATTAATGGAGGTTGTACTTCTAATTCATGGATGATTGCAGCTGTACGCCAGCCAGCTTTTGAAGGGCCTCGTAGATCGCTGAATAGGTGGTCCCCAAAGTATATCACCTTCAATTTTTTTTTTTTTGTTAAATCAATGATTTTATAAATGATAAATTAAAAAAATAAAAAAATACCTCTGGGCCATTCCACTTGGTGATTTGTAAGAAGGTTTTGAGGCATCCATGGTAGTAAATTTTATTTGGAAGAAACTCATCCACTTTCGAGAAGGCTAGATTGTCCTTCTCCACATCATAGGAACTGTATAAAGTAACAATTTAAATTCTAGGAATTTATTTTAATACTTATAATGTACAAATATTACTTTTATTTGCAAAGAAATTAGATACCGGAATGGATGCTCAGATGTGTAGAATTCAGGCTTATTCGCTTTAGCAATCACAACTTCAAATAACTCCCTCCATGAATCTCCACAACCCAAAGAATCCTAAACAAACAAACAAAAAAAAAAAAAAAAAAAAGTAACATTTATGATAAAAAAAGATCAGATAACTAACAAATTGTACAAATTGTTTCAGAGTTCACCTCCAACATGTAGCGCATCCCTCCATCAACAAAATAATAGGGAGAATTTGTCATTAAGAAGAGTTTCTTCCCATTCTCCTTCAACATTTTGAGAAAAGACAGAAATTGCCCCTACAAATATAAATCTACAAATCATGAATGGATCCAAAAAATAGAATTGGGTTTATTACTAAAAACAAAACACACATTTTTAACTAAATATCTTGGGGGATCAGCAAGAACTCCTCTATGAACCAAACCACTTCGGTGTACATACTGAATTGCACGATGTACATCTTGGTATATGTAAGAAGCATCAAATTCCAACTTTGCATCAACAAAGTATTGCACAATATCTGCAATAAGGCATACCTACAAAGAGGAGAAAAAAAAATGTAAGGTATTTAAGTATAGTAGTATACATTATTATTACAAATCAAATGACAAAATGATAGAAAATATTTTTATGGAATATAAAGATAAGAATACCAACCTCACTAAAGCAAAAGAAATCCATCAAACCTACAAGTTGTCTTGCTTGATCACGCCCAATATGTCGCGTTCCATAAAGCTCTTCAATTTCCTTCCGACTTAGCTGTCAATTACAAATTACAAATTATTATTTATTTATTTATTTATTGCAATTTTTGACTTATGGGATGTGTAAATTTCCATACCTTGCGTCTACCAAAGTAGCATCCATCTGGCTCAATTGATCCAAAGAAATCTAGCTTCAAAAGGCAACCTTTTAGCTTATCATAATAAAGCCCTCGAATTGGAAAACTTTGATCATATTTAGATGCCAAGCAGCCATCTGGATATCTAAGCTGAAAATGAAACATTAAAGTGGGCCATGATTCCATGAAACAAAACAACTCTATGAAAATGTAAGAACAAATTCAAATTTGTCATAATACAGAGTTACAGACCTCGTTTACTAAGTGTTGTTTTGCCATATCATAGATCAAGTTTTGTAAGCTAGGAGAGTAATGAGCCAGGGTATAATCATAGTCAAATCCATAAACTTGTATGCTGTCCAATCTAAGATTCTTATTAACATATATACCTGAGATTCACAAGAGTAACACAATCAAACAACAATCACATTCGTAAACTTGTGAAAGCTTATGTTCAAATTAAATGAAATATGTTAGTTACTGTCTACCTTTGGGGTTCATCTTAGGCATTCTGTCTAAAGCTTCAGGAATCTTAAGAAACCTCTGTTTGGCCAGATCAAACTTCTCCCGAATTTTAGCTACTTCATCATTAGAATCTGAATAACCAATATCAGTTACATGTTCTTCTTCCAACAGCTTTCCTACACTTCGATCATAAGATATACTTGCTGTTTGGCTATTACATCCTCTCCCAAACCCTAAATTACAAAACAGAAAACCATAAGTTTCACAGGTTGAGTGAAAAAATCATATACCAGAGTTCCATTACAACATAATTGGTCATGTCTCTAGGTCTAGGAAGCAGTTTCTTACATTGAAGGTGAATACATAAACATACTAGAGTAGGAGGTACCTTTTTGAAGTCCAGAACTAGAAGTAGGAAAGTTAGCCCACTGCAACCAGATCCATAAAGGTATTAGCTCGTAAGTAATAATAATACGATCTAGATCATAATTTCATAAAATATATGCAAAATCCCCAAATAACAATCCTAAGACCAAATTATGCACTTTGTGTTATTAATAATCGACTCGTACAACACACATTCATATACATGAACTACAAACATAGATGCAAGTTCACATTTCCAAATCTTACATCAATAAACAGAGAGAAAGAAGCATACCAGGAGCGACGCACGAAGTGGAACGAGTCTGCGAATGGAAGCCATGACAGGAGACAGTAAGGAAAGGAGAGATTTCAGTTGTTCATCAGCGTATGAAATTTGTTAATAGTCGTTATTAGGGTTTGTTTGTTTCAACTTTTCAGGAAACTTCTGTTAAAATAACTTTTCTGTGTCGATTTGTCGATGGTGTATTAAGCCGCCATGAAGTTGTTTTCAAGAAGCGTCGAGTGTGAAACGGGTTGACGTTCGACCACCAGGGATCAAATTTAAAATCGGAAAACCGAACCGAAACCGGAACCGGAACCGTTGAACCTGAATACATAGAACCGGTTCCGGTTCCAGGTTTAAAAATTAGTTTTATCCGGGTTCTGGGTAATCCGGGTTTGGGTCCATCGGGTCCGGGTAACCCGGGTCTAAAAACCGGAACCGATGTTAGGAACCGGAACCACTTTTAGGGTCGAAACCGGTTTTTGTGAAACGTCTAAAAGATGCATATTCCATTCGTTTCAACTCTGATTGACATGCGGTTTTTTCCAAAGTGTAGTTTAGAGTTTGTACATGATTTTAGACTATAAATTTGCCATTTTTAGTTTTATATTCATTGATTTACAGTCCTCCAAAGTCGAGATATCAAAGCTGAAAGTTTTTAGTTTTTCAGTTTTTTTGTATTCTGCGAAAGTTTTAAAACATGCATATCTAATTCGTTTAAAGTCGGATTGACATGTGGTTTTTTCCAACTTGTAGTTTATAGTTTGTACATGAGTTTAGATTATAATTTTGTCATTTTTGGTTTAATATTCAATGATTTATAGTCCCCCCAAGTCGGGATATCAAAACTGAAAATTTCCAATTTTTCAGCTATTTGTTTTTGTACTTTGTATTCTGTGAAAATGTTAACACATGCATATCTCATTAGTTTAAAGTCAGATTGACATGCGGTTTTTTCCAGAGTGTAGTTTAGAGTTTGTACATGATTTTAGACTATAATTTTGTCAATTTTGGTTTCATATTCAATGAGTTACAGTCCCCCAAAGTCGAGATATCAATATGAAAATTTTCAAAGTTCAACCCACAAAATAGTAAGTAATTACCAAAAAAAATCCGGTTTTTCCGTTTCTAAACCCACTTTATTCGGTTCCAACCTACTCACTTTCATGTTTTCCGGTTTTCCGGTTCTAGACCCACTTTACCCGGAACCGAACCGGAACCGGTTCCTATATACCGGTCCAGTTTCCGGTTCTACAAAATCTCGTTAACCGGTTCTGGGTTTTCCAGGTCTGGGTCCATCCGGTCCGGGTTTGGACCCACTTTAATCCCTATATAGCACCCTACTAAAAGAGCGTACGCATATATGTTGATGTCTTTATCTGTGTAATTCACATTTATTCACCACCCATAAATCAAGTTGTATACAAAGGTTGAACTATAAGAGAGTTACCTGTTTGACCATAAAACAAAATTTTGACCATAAAGAAAATGCTAAATTGGTCTTTAACTACACTTGTATTAAACAGGGCTCTTAAGTTTGTAAGGAAATTGTCAGAAAAGTCTCAATATTTTCAGAAAAGTTACACTTTAGTCCTAAGTTTTTTTTTCGAAAATAAAAGTCCCGAGTATTTCATTTTGGCTCAAATTAACAAAAAAGTCATTTTTTTCTTTTAACAGAAAATGACATATTATCGTGTTTTCACAAATAATTGGGATTTTTATGTTAAAAAAAAACTTGGGACTCAAGTGTAACTTTTTCGAAAATATTGGGACTTTTCTGACCATTTCCCTAAGTTTGCATGTTGCACGGAAGTTTAAACAATATTTTTTGTTATATAATATTTGTGCTATGTTATAATGTGTGTGGCAAAAACAATGTTATAGCTAGATAGATTTTTTACGGATGATATTCTAGTATGAAAAATGAAAGTATGATGATATTACATCATTGCACTATCAGTACTTTACTTGTTAAGGCATTGTACTTTGAAATATACACTCAATTATAACATTGTACTTTTAAATTCTTTCTTATTATAATATTATACTTTGAAAAATGTCCCTATTATAACAACAATAATTGTTTTAAGTGTAAAAATTACTATAATTATCTAGTTAGATGTTACATCCCCACATTTACGACATTTTTAAAACTTTTTCTTTATGCTTACTTTAAATCAAAGTGATCTTTGTAAATGCGGAATTTGTCCCATAACAAATATTTTTCATAGAAAATGTTTTTCGTTGATTTGTTAAAAATTTTGAATGTCATAACTGATACTAGGGATGAGCAGCGGAAGCGGGTACCTGCTTTCGGGACCGGAACCGCCTCGGAACTGCCAGTTCTGGAATCGGAACTGTCTTAGGCGGTTCCGGTTTCGGTTCCTAAAGTCTAGGAATTGTCTTAAGCAGTTCCGGTTCCAATTCTCATTTTTACGAAACCGATACCCGTTGGATACCCGTCGGTTCCGATTCCAATATCGGGTATTCAAAACCGGCGGTTTCCCGGAACCGGTAACTGTTGGATTAGGTGTCTAAGCCCACAACTATAATTGGTATGTACTTGACCCGATAGTAACATGGTCCTTTTGCGTTGCCTTCACCATAGCAACTTGGCAGGATGAATTGTGAGAAAGTGGTTGATAAATGATTTATTAATATATTATAAGAATAATATATTAATTGAGAAATTTTATTATTTAATTAGTACTGATCATAAATTAATTTGGAATAAATTTAGTGATCAAAAGAGACTGATTAAAAGAATGGGGACTGATATTGTAAATCACTGATAGTTGCAATTGGGCTGATGGATCACCTTGGAATAAGGTTGGATGAATTCTATGGGAAGCCTATAGAGAATTCGTCCAAGGAGTATTCTAGAAAGTGTCCATGGGCTGCTTAAGGCTTAAGCAATCAAATTAGGGTTTCCACCTAAAACCCTAGCAGCTACAAGTAAAAATAGACCCCATGGCTTACAGAATTCGACCCCTATGCTTTCTAAGAGAACCCTAGCCGATTTCTGTAAGCCTCCATCCTCTCTCTTTTGTTCATCTTTTGTTTGTGGTGTTTGTGACTCCATTAGAGGTGCAACAAGTGAGGCACTAAGCTCTTGAAGGTTAAGATCAACCAATCAACAAGGAAAAGGTATTCTTCTAACTTTGGTTTAGTTATAGATATCGAAAATATGTATGCTAGATTAGGGTTTTGCTTTGGAAAATTATTATGCATGTATAACTTGAGAAAACCCTAGATCCAAAGCAATTAGGGTTGCATGTGCACCATAGGAATATTGTAAAGCTCAAAACCCAACAGTGGTATCAGAGCTTAGGGTGTTTTTCTGTTATATTTGATGCTACTGTGTTTTGCCAAAGAAAGAACAAAATCGATTTTGCGTTCTGACTGATGAACTCGACGAGTCCTAAGATGGACTCGACAAGTTGGACCTGCTCGATGAGTCCAAGCCCTGATTCGACGAGTTGGTTCGTCTGTTGGCCGATTTTTCGGATTTCAATCCTAAATTAGATAAGGATCATTACCTTAAATTGTTTTAACTGTTAAAATACGAATTTTCTATTATGGTAATGATTGTCTTCATCTAATTGAAATATAATTGTCAAATTTTAAGATAATTATGAGATTTTGTGATAAATTGATTATTTGCAAAATTTGATTTGAATTTTCTTACCAAGCAAAATTGGATAAATGTCAAATTTATGATAAAGATAAATTATATGATTAATTTGTAAAATTTCGGTGTCATCGAAGGACTAGGGTTTCGCGTTCGTGAAGTCCTTGTATATACACTCTCTCGGGTGTCCATGACTGTCTCCTTGAGTAGAAGGGTTGGCACCACTACCTGACCCTATATTGTCACTTGTATTGATCTGTGACATAGCGGCAACCATTGCGGCTGTTACTGCTGCTTGAAAGACTGCAGGGTCGTACTGAGGAGGTGGCGGTGGTGGTGGATTTGTTGAAGGGTTGTTTTTCTTCATGTTGGACTTCTTTGGAGGCATCTTTCTCTAAAATGATTTAAGATAAAAATGATGATAAATCCTCTATAGTGGTCATGAGTCAGGTGATATTGAATAAGATATATCCAATCCTGACAGTTATAGTGCTCTAGTAAGCGATTTACAGTGGAAGTCTACTAATACAAGTAAACAATCGCCATTTTATAGCAACACTTATAGAGAATCTGTATAGTGTGACTCACACTGACCACTCTGTAGATATCTAGTGTAGACGAGCTATGAATAGCCATTAAGGCCCGAATGCTCTTGTTCTAATGTTGTAGGATCCTAAAATACACCTATAGTATCTTAATTTCATGTTTGGTTCTAAGGTTTCTCTTGTATGTATTGTTGGTAAATTTTAGACTTGTTGCAACACCGCTATCACTCCCAAACACATGTTGGTCGTATCTCAAATAGATATAGTTGATCAGGCTATGTTTATCCCATATATGATTACATAACTGTCCAGGTTTGACCGCAGCGTTCAACATCTAAATACTTTTGTTTTGTTCTTATTGTGATACTGTTTCCAGTGTGTATGTATGTTTGTATACTTATTGTAAAATACTTAGATTTTAAAAGTATACTTTTAGTTAGATCACTCCGGCCCCATTGTGTTTATACTTGTATATCCTTTAAGGTTTGATATACTTAGTTCACTATAAACAATGCTCTGATACCAATCTGTCACACCCCCAAACCGGACGGCGGAAACGTTCGGGGGTGGAGGACGTCATGTACAGTATCACAACAATTGTATAATAAGAATCAAAGCAAACAAAACCATTACATTGATAAACATAGTATTTACATCTGTTCGATACATGATTTGTATGACATCAAAAGTATATAACAAAATGTATAAAGACGTGACTCTAAAAGCTCCGTCTTCTCAAAACATGCGGGTGTACCTGTCTACCGGTTCCCTGAGAATACAAGTGATTTTGAAAGTGTATCAACATTTAAGTTGGTGAGTTCATTAGTATGTTTTTGTAATGAAATCTTGTCTTTGTTCTTTGAATCATTCGTATGTTCCTCAAGAAAATCCAATATTTCCTTTAGTAGTGAAAAGTAGCCTTAGGCCTTAAGACCAAAATGTACATTCGTTACTGAAATTGTAATGGTATGTCGTAGTAGTGTTTGTTATGAAACCCTTGTATGAAAGCTTTTGTA